GGGGGTTACACAGGCACGTTTTAGTATGTGTTTTACGGCACTTGCAACACAATAAGTCATGTAAGTGCTGAAGATTAGAGGTGTTACAAGAGAGTAACAGTGTCAGACGCAAAAAAGAAGGAGGGGAGAAGGACTATATATGTTTGATTGGAAAGAAGAAGTAAACCACACCAGAGCTCCAGCCAACCACCCATGGACGTTCAAGGCAGATAAAAATTCATACAGAAATGTACAGTGCTTATTTTCATTTTGAATAAAACGGGGCACAAAGACATTATAAAGGTGTCAGTGGAATCAGTCGCTCGTTTGTTGTCGGGCATTTAGATGTATTGGTACCATCTTAAAGATAGTTTATTTGTGTTGCTTTCGATAACAAAAATACCCATGTATCTTGAAACGAAGTCAAGATATTTGCCACTGAAGGAGGAGAGCTCACTCAGTTTCAGTGGTAAAATTGGCGAGAAAATAGCCGCCAAAGTTTGACGATTGCAATAGGTTGAGAGTCCTTGAAAACAATAACATTACAAATTTTTCTGTGCCTTTAATCAATGTTTCTCCGTGAAATTCATATAGACATGTGTTTTAATATGGACACAAAAGGTGTTGAGCTAAAAAACAAACAAACACACACACACACAAAAATTCGATAAACATTTTCAAACTGATGGAAAAGTACCAATTTCTTCAATTTCATTATTTTGACGAGCGCGTATTTTTACCACGATGCCTCATTTACTTTTAAAAATAAGTTTCATTATTTGTTATCTTAGTTTTAGTAACGAGAAGCCCATTTATACAATGACATACAGTTCAAGCAGTGAGCAGGGGAAAATCTAGGAACACACAAAGAGACAAACACACACACAAACACACACAAACACACACACAGACACACACACCCAAACATAAACACATACAAATGCACGCGAGCACACACATTCAAACACAAACACACATACAAACACACACATAAACAAACTCACACACGGACACACACACAAACACAAACACATACTCATACAATATAAACACACACACACACACACACACACACACACACACACACACACACATAAACACATACACACACATGCGTGCGCGCGCACATACACACACACACAAACACATACACACACACAAACATACATCATAAACACACACATTAACACAGACAGGTGATACACACACACACACACACACACACACACACACACACACACACGGACACACACACACATACACACACACACACACAAACACACACATAAACATACGCAGAGACAACAGAGAACAAAGTACGTTGGATCTACCTGTAGTGTCTTCAAGCCATCCACTTTTCAACGAAGTGATAAATCAGACTTTTACAAACTGCTGTAACTACTAGATGCATATGTGAGACAGCGTGGTGGAATCAGGCTCTCGTCAATTTTTGGGCATGTAGAGTTATTGGTACCATCTTATAACTTGTTCACTTGTCTTAGTTTGGATGAAAAAAATATCAATTTATCTTGAATACAAGGTGAGATATTTGCGAAAGAAGGAGGTAGAAGTCCCCTGTTTTCAAAGGAAAAAATTAGTGAGAAAATGGCCCCAAAAGATTAGTTATTTTCTTAGCTTAAGAGTCCGTTGTAACTGAAAATTATAGCTTAAAAAAAAAATCCACACAGAAATGAGTTCTTTAATGGACATGAAAGGTGTTGAGCCAAAAAACAAAAATTTGATAAAAAATTCTCAAACCTGCAGAAAAATGCAAGTTTCTTCTCTTTGATTACTTTGACGAGAGCCTGATTCCACCACGCTGCCTCACAATTGTACACGAATGTCTCTTTTAAAGAATCATCAACAACAACAACAACAACAACAACAACAACAACAACAACAACAACAACAACCCCTCCCCCATAACAAAAAAGCAAAACAAACCCCAGACAAACTCCATCTCCCTAAAAAAACCCCAACCCAACAACAAAACAACAACAAAAAAACAACAACAAAAAACTGACCATCGGCTATGCCTTGTTTTTCTCCTCTTTATCATAGTTAAATCATACACTTACTCTTTGGGGAAATCGTCTTTGAGCCGTATCGCCCTATCCTCTGTATTGCACTCCATGGTATCTGCTGGCAAGATCGCAGATTCGTTGGATGCCATCAGTGCCTGTTCCGATTCGATTAACGAAAGCGTATCATTCGGCCCGTATGCGATGGAACACAGGACCATAACACACTCCATTAGATATTGAGAGCGAGACATGTTAGGTGGGGAAGATAAACGGCCTCTGATACACAGCTGGACGCATAATCGCGTGCATTGACCTAAAGACTCGCTCACGCTGCTGGTGTTGAGAGATGTATACGATGCCATCTTTGCCACGCAGGTTGATGTTGAATGCGATTCTTTTCTGTAAATGAACACACTTTTTTAAATATATATTAGGCACACCGTCTTGTATTATAAAACACAACACGCGTTCTCGATTAGAACACACTGCTTTCTTCTATTGCACACACCTTCTTGTTTCGGACGCACCGTGCGATGTCTTCTTTTATAGATATTGAACACTCCTTCTGTCTTCTGATATTGAACGCGTTTTCTACTATTGAACACCCTCTGTACCTTTGAACACAGCTTATACTGAACACACTTTCCACTGTCTTCTTCTGTTAAAAAATCCACACTTTGCACTAATGAACACACTTTCTAAAGTTGAGCATCCCTTATTCTATTGAACCCATCCTCTGCAACTGAATGCACTGTAGGCTTCTACACCGAACTTTTACTGTTGAAACTCTTTCTCTAATTGAATCGACCTTTCTCTGATGAAGGAACTTTCTCCTATTGAACGCACCTTTCTCAGTTGAACACACCTTTTAGAATGTTCTTCCTTGCACTATTGTTGTTTCTCTCTCCGTCTCTCTTTCTATATATATATATCTCTCTTTTTTTCTTGTGTTCCTCCTTCTTTTACAAAGTTTGACGCGGTTTTTCGACAGTTTATGCCTTCAGAACGAGTTCTAGACTCAAAATAGCTGATCCAACTTTCTCAGACGATGCTAAGTCCAATCTTCAATGCAAGGTCTTCAGCACAGGAGAAATAATACTGCCGTCTGGTAGAAAAAAATAGAAAATAATATGGGTATTATGTACAACAAAACCGACAAAGGCGGTAAAGGTGCGTCATCATCATCATCATCATCATCATCATCATCATCATCATCATCATCATCATCAGCATCAGCATCATCATCAGCATCATCATCATCATCAGCATCATCATCATCATCATCATCATCATCATCATCACCTGACCCCCTCCTCCATAAGTATCTTAAACTAAAAGAAGACATATACAATACATACGCTCACACAAACACACGCACACACATAAATATAAACACACACACACACACACACACACACACACACACACAAACACACACACACACACACATACACACACACACACACATGCACACATACAGAATTACACTTACACGCTCATTCACAGACATAAAAAACACGCAAACACACACAATAAAAACGCACTCCTTCACACACATGTACAAGACAACATTTTATATATTATTCTCACACATTTGCAAAGATGTACAAAACAATTGCACACGGGTTGCAAGTGTATGGGTTTTAACGCCTCTTTCAACAGTATTAGGTTATAATTTAAGAAGCGAAATCTTTGAATTTACTGTCGGTCTCCAAAAGAACCGAGCCAATGGGCCGATATATTTGAAAACTCCATAAAACGACTTGAGCTCAAAACGTCCACTCTGGGATTTGAACCCGTGCCATCGGCCCCGTAGGTAAGCGTGATACCAACTGATCTAACGGGTTGCCCCGCTCCGTAGAAGGGCCAAAGCTGCCATCGCGGCAGCACAATTCGACTGAATTCGATCGTGACCTTCAAAAACTAACGTTTGATTTCTAACGTCGCAATTCGTACGATCGAAAGTGTACAGGAAACACGCAGAACGTGGTAATTGATTGTGTAGATTTGCAGAAGCTGATACTGATAGATGTAAAAGGTTATCGGCATTTCCCATGTCTTTTTAATGGTAAGTGTTTTACGGCGCTCGCAACTGTATAAGGTCATATGAGCGTGTGGGGCACATGAAGCATTTTCAGTTTCGTAGGAATAGATTTTTAATTTTGCCAGAGTGGCGGCCGAATCCCACTCTTGTCGATTTTTGTACCAGTAAGGGATCTTCAACTTACATACGGGACTTCCGACATTCTTTTTTCACCCTAATCAGAGAAGGTTAAGTGTTAGATCTTACCTCCCCTAAGATCAGGGATGCGGTTGAAAGACAGCAGTAAAAAGGAGCCAAGGAGTAGAGGTAGAAAGGTAACAGAAAGAGTCTGGAGTCCAAAGGAGGGGGACAAAAGGAGG